TCGCGAATGGGGAGTCCAGCACATCCTGGGGCTCCGGAGACCCGTCCCTCTCATCGATCTTCTTCTGGAGCTCGTCCATCCTCCTCCGAAGATGCTCGACCTCTTCCAGATGGGAGCTCGGAGCTCTAACATTCGTTTCACCCGATCGTTCGACCCGGGAGGCCTGCTCACGTCGCGGGTGGGGTCGGGGGACCCGCCCTGCGAACCCACGCGAGGCTGCCTCGTGTCGCGGCTGGGCGCGGGGCCCATGGATCGGCGACCTTCGAGTGACCGATTCTTGTCGCAGTGGCCGGCGGGAGCATGATTCCGCCGCCGGTGGCCCGTTGGCCGGTCTCGGACCCAGCCTGTCCCGGGCCGACACGTGATCGCCCAACCTCTCTAGGGCGGGCCTGGTTTGGGTTGGTGCTCTTCCATTGCCGTCGCGCTGGCGGTCTCGGCGGGAGTTCCCTCCTCCCCGCCTCTCCGATGGTCGAGGCGAGTTGACCTCCCCCTGGGTGATAGGTGCCTGGGGTGGCCGGGTGCTTGGACCGCTACGCCCCCGGGTGGGAGGAGGTGGTGGTGACGCCGGAGCCCCTCGGGTGGCGCCTAGGTCGGCTTGTTCCTCTGCCAGAAGGCCCGCCGCGACGCGTGCCAACGCCGTGGAGGCTTGTTCAAAGACCGCCACCCCCTCCTAGATGAGTGCGCGAGCCGGAGCGGGGGCGACAGGGGGTGGTGGCGGTCCACCACTGCTACAGTGGTTGGTGAGCTGGGCCCTCAGATCTTCCCCCGACCTGGTGGAGGCGTCCGGTTGGATGCTGGGGGCGGGGGCCCCGTTGGGACCGTTCCCGTTCGCGACGAGCTGGGTGCCGCGGGAACCGTTGGCTGGCCTCGGACCCAGCCTGTCCCGGGCCGACACGTGATCGCCCAACCTCTCCAGGGCGGGCCTGGTTTAGGTTGGTTCCCTTCCATCGCCGTCACGCTGGCGGTCTCGGCGGGAGTCCCCTCCTTCCCGCCTCTCTGATGGTCGAGGCGAGTTGACCTCCCCCTGGGTGATAGGTGCCTGGGGTGGCCGGGTGCTTGGACCGCTGCGCCCCCGGGTGGGAGGAGGTGGAGGTGACGCCGGCGCCCCTCGGGTGGCGCCTATGTCGGCTTGTTCCTCTGCCCGAAGGCTCGCCGCGACACGCGCCAACGCTGTGGAGGCTTGTTCAAAGACCGCCACCTCCTCCTGGATGAGTGCGCGAGCCGGAGCGGGGGCGACATGGGGTGGTGACGGTGCACCACTGCCACGGTGGTTGGTGAGCTAGGCCCTTAGATCTTCCCCCGACCTGGTGGAGGCGGCCGATTAGATGCTGGGGGCGGGGGCCCCGTTGGGACCGTTCCTGTTCGCGACGAGCTGGGTGCCGCGGGAACCATTGGTATGACGAGAGCTGGATCTCGATCTTGCCATCGCTGTGGATGAACGATAGTGGGGAGAGCGCTTAAGCTTGTACAACAGCTCTCAAGAAGAGCACCAATGATGGAATTAATTAAATCGGGGGTCCGACTTAATTAACCCGAATAAGAATACAGATAATAAATAAGTAATACGAACGTTATAGCAAACGCCGTGAGACCGTAGATTGTATTAAATGCCGTAGAATTGGCTATTACAGTAGTATTTCAGGACAGAGTATGTAAGAACAGTAGATCGTAGATAGCCTGCCTTAATGAGACAAGGTGGGGGGTTTTTATACTACCCCCACCCCTAACCGCCACCTCCTAAGGCGGGGGGTGATTGGATCCGAGTTGACCGTGCCCGGCCTCGCGACCGGGCCGCGCTGCGGGGGCCGGGCCGAGCTCATCATGGGCCCGGGCCGGGCCCATGTGGAGGTCGGCCCGGCCTCCTGGAGAGGCCGGCCTGGCCTCCAACGTGGCTCGTGCGGGGGCCACGTGGCGAGGCCTCGGCCGGGGCGGGTACGTGGCGCCGCCCCGGGACCCGTTCTTGCTTCGCGCCCTCGGGTCGGTTCGGGTCGATTCCCAATATATCCGTCAATAATAAAGGTTGGAAAAATCGCTTCTACAATCTGTAATATTATATAAGTGATGCCTTTCAGTTCCTAACATTTGGAGCTCCCAATTTAGGCAACACATCTACCCAGCTCTGACCAGAATCATGACTACTCACGCCGAGGCGATTTCCTCCAAATTCTACGAAGAATACGCAACAACTAACCTCCAAGAACTTCGGTATGATTTGGAAAATAAATACATACCCATGACCAAGGAGGTTACCATCGTAGTGCCTCCCAGAACAGCCAAGCCGACCTCATGAGGTCCTTGTGTTTAGATCTTATTCTTCTTAAGTTGAGTGACGCATAGTTTTGAATTTTATTATTATCTCTAACTCTCGATACTCAGTTTTGCAGAGATGGGCTTAGACGAGGCGTTTGAGGCTGCCACCACCCAAGCTTCCCACACCAAGGTCGCCTTGGGTGGGAAGAAGTCGATAGCAGCGACTACTTCGGCCCCCATCCCCTCCGCTTTACCGCTGACAACGGTGGTACAAATGAGCTCTAGGTCGGACCTCGCTATAACCCGGGCATACATCAAGAGCGGTAAGGAAAAGGCTACCGACGGCGACGACGAGGCCCGATAAAAAGGCCTAAGGGGTTGGTCTCACCCGACCACACTCTAATTATAGATGTCTTCCTGTCCGAATCTGAGCCTGCGTCACTCTTGGACAAAATCTGCTCCTACATGTTGGCCCCCGATAATACTTCTGAATGGTCGACCAACCGGGTCGGCGAGTAGGGACCTAAAGAAATCATATTGGTAACCTCTTGCCCGAACCTTTCCCTTCATAACTTTTCCCGTAAGTCACGCGCACACTGTTTGTTTGTAGCTGAGTAGAACCTTAGCCAATCTCTTTTTCCGGGCTAAGGGCACCAAACAGGCACACCAGAAAGACAGGGAGGGCCTCGCTTAGAAAGATTCCAAGGAGTCACGCGCACACTGTTTGTTTGTAGCTGAGTAGAACCTTAGCCAGTTTCTTTTTCCGGGCTAAGGGCACCAAACAGGCACACCAGAAAGACAGGGAGGGCCTCGCTTAGAAAGATTCCAAGGTTCACAATCTGGAGGGAAAAGTCATGAAGCTTGAGAAGAGGGTCGAAACGACTGTGTTAGACGATAATGCCTCTATAGAGAAGAAAATATTATGGTGGATGGATGCATGTGCATGGCAATAATGGTGGAAAAGATAACGGAAGTTATAACGATAGGGGTATATTTGTCAAAAATAATGTATAGTACAACTCTTATAGCATAATGTATAAAAAGACGTAATGGAAAAAATAGACATAAATGAAGGGTATAACCTTCATTTACACTTATTAGTTTTTAGATAGATATGATAGTGTAGAGGCAATTATAGGCCCTCTTTGGCCGAGCTTATTTAGGAGCTTATAGCTTATTTTAAACTACTAATAAGCTATAAGTTCTGTTTGGTAATGTTTCCAAAATAAGCTAGTAGCTTCCTAATTTTTTTTTCCATCTTTATCCTTAATATTTTAAATAAATGACATCCTTTACCCCTCTCAATTAAAATCATTTTTGGCATTTTCTCTTCTCCATCTTTATTCACCCTCTTAAGCAACTCTTCACCCCAAGCAACTCCTTAACGTTGCAACTCCTTATGGAATGCTCATGATTATGCTAATAGCTTCATTTTAAAATGTTAAATTTTAATAGGTAAACAAACCTATTTAAATTTAAAACTATTTAAAGTTTATTAAGATGTCATTTTTAGTCTTTTTATATTCATCAGCTTATCAAAAAGCAAATTTTACCAGACTCTCTTAAGCATAATCAGCTAGCTTAACAGCTCTTTAATTTTCAGCTTATAGCTTATAACTTTTCAGCTTTCAGCTACCATTTCAGCTAGGTTTACCAAACATATCTTATACCATGCTTTGTTTAATTTTTAGTTCATATTTTCTCTTTTTTTTTTTTTAATCACATTATATGAAATTTTAAAAATAAATAGCAAAATAGTGAAATATTGGATAATCATATGAATCAATAAAATATAAAATATTTTTTTTATTCTTACCGCAAATATTAAAAGTTTGAATTTGAAATAGATTTCTTGTGTGTAGAAGTGTCTAGTTTGTTGTCAAGACTCAAAATTAGATTGATTCAATTTACCTTCTTATTTATAATTTTGACAGTGATAGTGATATTGTCGATAAATTCAAAGAACCTAAATTATAAAAATAAATAAAAAATATACCACGTACGAGGCAAGTCCACCATGTTTACGCACCCCAAAAAAAGTTTTTTTTTTTTAAAAAAAAAAGAAAGAAAAAAATAACATTTTCCTTATAATAGTTAATAGAGTTAATACCTAAAGTGGTCCCTCGACTATGCCATAATTACTAATTTGGTCCTCAACTACCATTCTTACCCAATTAAGTCCTCAACTATGTAACTTTTACTCAATTAAGTCTTCAACTATACAATTCTTACCCAATTTAGTTCTCAATTATACAATTCTTACCCAATTTAGTCCTCTGTATTAATTTGACTGTTTGTTGACTGTCAAAAGTCGGGATAAAATTATAATTTTACAAGATTTCTCCTTCCTCTCCATTTAGCAGCGCCAAACCATGCAACAATACACTCCGATCAGATTTCGATCATCAAAAAATCGTTGGAAATCAAATTCATGGGCTATCCGATGCATAACCACTACTTCGATACTGACAGGTTTAGAACCCAACCGGAGCTTATTGCTACATGGTTTGGCGCTGCTAAATGAGGAGGAAGGAGAAAACTTGTAAAATTACAACTTTATTTCCACTTTTGACAGTCAACAAACAGTCAAATTGACAAAGGACTAAATTGGATAAAAATTGTATAGTTGAGGACTTCACTGGGTAAGAATGATAGTCGAGGATCAAATTGGTAATTACGACATAATCGATGGACTATTTTGGGTATTAACTCTAGTAATACATACGGTAACGCCGTAACGGTACCCTTGGTTTTGTTTTTCTTCTTCTTCTTCTCCTCTATTAATTCCGTCTCCCCCAATACTTAACCTCCTCCTCTGTCTCCGCCGCATTCTCTCACTGTCCAAATTATTACTCTCTCTCTAGATTCGCCATTTATATCTCCGTCCTCCGAAGAGTCACCCGCCGGAGTTCCGAGCGCCCTGATTTTTCTATACTGGTAGTTTTCTCAATTGATTTCGCGTAGCGGTATGTTCTTCAATTCTTCTCTTATTTTTCATCTATGCGTCATATGTTCTCTCTTTTGCCGTTGAATTTCTAGGGAATGTGATGTGTTGTTGGTGAATTTACCGATATTGCTTCGGATAATTGGGTGCTTTCGTTGCTTTTGCCTTTCCTTTTTCTGAGTTTAGTGAAATGTTCGAAATAGATATAAATGTTTGAGCTAAATGGCATGTAGAATTGTAACATGTTTTTAATTTCTTTAAAATTTCTTATGCTGTAATTATTGTATTCAACATTACTACACCAAGAACTGGAAGCTAATCTACTGAACCAAAATTCTGCAAATAGGGAAATAGGTGTTAGAAAAAAAATCCCTTTATGGATCTCTAGTGTGATTGAAAATCAATGTGGTTATTGCCACGACCCCTTTATGTTTATGTAGCTTTAGAATCTTGATCTTGGCCTTCATTTTGACATTCTTTAATAGAGTTTTTTGCACTTTTTGTTCCGCGACTATAGTAGTGACATTATAAGGATTTATCTGCGACTTTCAAACCTGTTAATTTCAGTCCACGACTATTGTTTTTGTTGCAAAAATGGTCCTTCCGGCCAATTTTCCGTCAAGATCCTACCGGAGAAAAAATTCTCCATTTCAAGCAGGGATAAAATAGACATTTACATTGACCTTGCAATCTCGGATCGATGTTGACCTCTTATTCTGACCAAAATGCGAAAAAATCAAACATAAAAAAAAAACCAATTGACCGAGACGAACCCTAATCGGCTCTCATCTCATCAACCCATCTACAAACAAGAGGAAAACATAGATTGCCATCTTCAACACGTCATCCATTGCCGATCTTCATCTTCTTTATTTTGAAGGAAAACATAATGGCTACATCGTTGATTAGATGAGAGCATATTAGGGTTCATCTATGGCAATTGGGTTTTTTTATGTTTGATTTTTTTGCACTTTGGTCAGAATAAGAGGTCAATAGCGGTCCGAGATTGCAAGGTCAATGTAAATGTCTATTTTATCCCTGCTTGAAATGGAGAATTTTTTCTCCGGTGAGATTTTTTACGGAAAATTGGCCGGAAGGGCCATTTTGCAACAAAAACAATAGTCGTGGATTGAAATTGTAAGGTTTGAAAGTCAAGGATCAATCCTGATAGTGCCACTATAGTCGTGGGACCAAAAGTGCAAAAAACTCTTTTTTAATATATGGTTTATTGCACATTGTATTCCATAAGGCTAAATGTCTGTTTGTGGACCTAAAGGTTTAAATTTTATGTCAGCTTTGGTAATCAGAAACATTATGCCCATTGGTAGTTAATGAAACTGGAGAATGACATATGATGGGAACAGCTCTTGATTTAGATACTGAGTTCCGTAATTATAGTTATGCTCAGGGATATTAACATTAAAAATGACTGCTGATGGTGTCTTGATGCATTATTTATAATCCAAATGCCGACATCTCTGATACTAGGCTTACATTATCCCAAAGCTGATAGAGTTGCATCTAGGATAAGTTAGCTAAGGGTTTTGTGTTATTTGTGGAATTCTTTAATATGAGATGCTTAACATTGCCATGAACACACACAATAATGTTTCTTGTGTACTGTGTGCACTTTCAAATTGTGAGTTGAGACAATGTTTGCTAGGGAATGTCACTTTTTCTCCATTTGAACAGATCTCATGGCATTTGATACTGACGGGAGTGATGGGGCTGTTTCCATTAGTAAACAGAAAAAGAGTGAAAATTCAGCTCCAACAATGGGATTACAAAATGCTACTGGCTGTTTTGATTGCAACATATGTTTTGAGTCGGCACATGATCCTGTGGTTACACTTTGTGGCCACTTGTACTGCTGGCCTTGCATTTACAAGTGGCTCCATATCCAGGACACCTCCCTTGAATCAGAAGAGCAACCTCAGTGTCCTGTTTGTAAGGCTTATATCTCAAACACCTCGTTGGTCCCTCTCTATGGCCGTGGTTCATCATCATCAGACTATGAATCCAAGAAGCTTGAACTGGAGTTCTCCATACCTCAAAGGCCACCAGCTCTCAGCATGAACACGCCACCGCCAAATTCACGACCACATCAGCAACTTCCGCCCAATGCTTTACACCAACCACCACCACTGTTCCATCACCAACAATACTTCCCTCAAGCCTTTGGCGGCTATGCATCAATTGGACCTTCTAGCTTCGGGGGCACAGCAGTTACCAGTTTCTTCAGCCCCACTGTTGGTATGTTTGGAGAAATGTTCTTTGCAAGGATGTTCGGTAGCACTGACACAACTGTATTTGCTTACCCAAGTGTCTCAGCTGCCGGTGGCCCTAGAATGAGAAGGCAAGAAATGCAGGTGGAGAAGTCTCTTAACAGATTATCCATCTTCCTCTTATGCTGCTTAATTCTATGCCTTCTCCTATTCTAAATTTCAATTTTGCCTTGTATAGTTGTATCAATTATGTGACTGCTTCCAAACAGTCAAGGATATAGATATTAGCCAAATACTCAGCTATTCAAGACGTGTTATAGCCGTGTCCTAGCTATTGGCTTTCATTGCCATGACGTTCTTCTCACTTTGACTGTTTGATGGCCTCGAGCTTGTCTTGTGCCACGTTATTATTATCTACATGTTTCAAACTCGGGTGCAATTTGAAATGCACAGTTTGCAGCTATTGATTGTGTTCTAGTCTTCTTTCTCTATTGTCATCTTTTGAGTTCTGATCAAGATTGCCCTGTTTTTTCATGATTCTGTTGTTCCGCTGCCTTATACCTAGTTTGCATTGTGTTTACTTGATATGGTCAGGCACTCAGGCTATGACTTGGTGAAAGTTGTGGAAGTGTGATAAATTTCTCACTTTTGTCAAGATTCACCTGCTATTTTGACCAAAATGAGTTAATCTGGCCTTTCATTTGGTAAAGATATAATGGATAGGATTTAATAGGTATTTTTAACCGTTTATTTATTTCTTTATTGCGTTATGGGCATTTAGGTAGTTGTTTACGTAGTTTTCTTTGCAAGTGGTTTTTTTTATAGACTATGTTGCGTGATTTTAGAGAATTATAATTACAATTTTATGGATTTTTTCGGTATTTTCTTTTGTGTTTTGTCTGTGTTTGTCTTCGTTTTCCTTTGTTCTCTTTTTTTTTTTTTTTGGTCGCTGGTGGTGATTGCTCTGCATTTGTTCTCTTTGTCTCTTGGAGTATGCTTTTGATTTGGTTGTTGATGAATTTATGATTTTAGGAGGTGTGCATCGTAGGTTTTTAAAATGTGTATTGCGTCATGTGTAGTGCAACATAGGACTTTAGGGTGTGCATTATTTGGAAGGTGTTAGGTAGTATTGCCAAAACGAAGTGACTCGCCCCATTAACCTACCCCATCGCGGGCTTTTGCGAGCTGGCTCACAAACTCTTCTTTTTTCTTCTTTTTTTCCCAACAGCTAAACACTAATAACTAACCACTAAAAGCATACCTTTCAAAAAAAAAAAAAAAAAAAACACTAAAAGCATACAATTGCCAAGCAAAAGGTTTCATTTTAAAACAATCTTTCACAAAAATTATTTCCTGTAAATTATGTAACAAAATGATACGATGTATAAAATATTCCCTTTGTTATGAAACAAGAAAATTATAGGCAACAAGAAGAGGAATTTGAGAGAGAATATGAAAGAAGGGAAATATTTTTATTGTCGTCTTCAAAGAGTATATTTACAAATGAAACATATAGGTCTATATATAGACAATAAATTTAACTCTTTGATCACTTAATTCTTCATTTATCCAGAAAGATAGAGAAATTTTCGTATCAAATAACTCTCTTTTGGTACAAGAAATCATATGGAGCTCTATTAAATAGCACAAAATACTCCCTTACAACGAGGCTCGAAACCTAAAGTCCTAGACCTCCCACATAGGGGAGCAATCCAATACCAGTGGACCACAAGCCACTTGGTTATTTTGTGTTAGACATGGTACATTTTCGCCACGAATCAAAATTTTTAAACTCCTTGGGTTACTAACTCTTGAAACAACTACGTACATTTGGCCATGGTTAAAGACAAGTCTTTTCAACAACAGTCCCACTTTTGAAAGTGTTTGTCCTTGGCTTTTGTTGATTGTCATGGCATAGGACAGCATCAACGGAAATTGCTTTCGTTGGAATTTAAAAGACAATCTTGGATCTGACGGTGTAAGTGACATTCTAGGAATTAATACTCTTGTTCCTGCATTTGTACCGCACATGATCTAGGCTTCCAACACGTGATCAGCTAACCTAGTAACAATCAACCTTGTACCGTTGCATAATCCAAGTGTGTGATCAATATTTCTCAAGAGCATAATAGGTGACCCAACTTTCAATGTCAAAACATGATTGGGTACTCCAGAACATCTCAGCCCATTCAAGAATTCCGGAGTGTGCAAATCCGCTAACATATCTACATTTGACTCTAACTTACAAATAGAATCACAACTCAAGTAAGTCCTACCCTCAGCCGGATTATGATCATTCATGTATTGGTTAATGCTATCTACCACATCCAATGTTGGAGCCAAAATAGCACTATCATTAAGATATGACAGATCCCCAATACCACGTCTAAAAAGAGGGAAGTTGCTATCAACAATTGTAGCAATAGGGTCATCCTCGCACTTCAACAATAAGTGATCTGGAATTGTAATATCTGCTTCACCATCACTTGAATTACCAACAGTTCCGTCACCTATATTAGCTATCCAGTTTGCAAACTCCTCAATCTCTTTAGCGCCAATTTGTGATTGTACACTTCTTAGGCGTAGATTCTTAGTTAGCCTAAATACTTTACAGGATTTCCAAAGATATGAGGAATTTATGCTCGCCCGAACAATATCCTGTCTTGTACCCTTTGGAATTACTGGTAGAATTTGCCTGAAATCGCCACCAAAAACAACTATTTTACCACCAAATGTCATTTCATAACTACTTGGATTTTTGCAGCGCAAGAAATCCCTCATAGTTCGGTCGAGGGCTTCAAAACAAAATTTGTGCATCATTGGAGCTCCATCCCATATTATCAACTTGCTTTGAACAATATGCTCTGCTAATGGGCTATCGTGACTTATGTTGTAAGTGGAATCTTCATTAACAGATATCGGTATGGCCAACCGAGAATGTGCAGTTCTTCCACCTGGTAATAAAAGAGAAGCTATGCTGCTAGATGCAACATTTAATACTATTTCCCTCTTAGACCTTAAAGCGGACTACAATGCTCGCCACAAAAATGTCATACCAGTCCCTCCATAACCATAAACGAAGAATAACCCTCCAACTTTCCGATCAACATTTGTTAACACCTCATCGTATATGACCTTTTGCTCTTCTATTAACTGACTTACCAATTCCTGGTTCTCTTTCTCCTGAGCAACACAGTCATATGACAATTTTCTTCTTCTATTAACCCGTTTGATATAACATTAAAGGCCTCAAAATTTACCGTTGGCATTTCAGGAAAGTCCTTCAAACTTTTGCCAAGGATTGATCACAACTTTTCAATCTCCACTAAAGCAAAGTTCATCTTTTGAGAGTCATTCAACACTAAATCAGCATATGTTTATATAAGAAAATACTCATTAAGTTAACTCCGTTATAGATTACTTGATGTTTTGATCGCAATATAACAAAAAATAGTCTTTAGAAAGTATGTTTACCTGTATTTTGCAACTGTTTACGGATCTGGAATTGTGCATCTTCAGACAATTGTGGCCACACCGCATTCCAAACTGTTTCCGGTTTTCCCATACAATTGCTCATTAGCAATGTAACAAACAATCTCCTCAACTTATCTCCCGATGCCCAATGACTGGCTTCCTCTATTGCATCAACATATTCGTTGTCATCATCAACTAAACCTCTAGCATAACACACATCTCGAAATGAAGCATAATGGACACTGTTTATAGTTCTGATATCTGCATAACTTGTAGGGCCACGTATTTTATTCAACAAACATCTCAAGTAAAAGATTTCTCCAGTTGCAGGCGGCACATAAAATATCTTCCCAATTAAGAACCCTTTTTTTCTTGGCTGCCATTTTCTAAGGTCTTTCTTCAACACGAATCTTGTTGGCATCTCTGCATAAGTAAGCTTTCTTGCATCTGGGAATGTCTTATTAGCCTCAAACCATTCCAAAAACATGCTCTGTGCTATAGTGAGTTTATTAACAATGTTCTCAACTGGATCGTCATATGCAAACACCACACTTTGTTGATTGGGGAGGTGAAAGCTTAACCTTTCCACTGACGGAGTCCTAAGTTGTATATCAAAACCAAACAAACGCCAAACCGCTTCACATGGTGATATGTACCGACAGTCATAGTACATATTAATCTCATCTATGACTTTTCCATTCTCTTCATCATTGTCAGTTTTGTAGAACTCGGTTGTTACCTGATCATAACCCTTATTAACATACTTGAACATGTACTTGATTGAGCGGGACTGGTTGCACCACTCGACATTTATATGAGCCTTGTACTTAAGTAATAAATGTCTATTGTGCGGTACAACATACCTGTTGTCCAAGGCGATGCCGTTCTTTGTAACTATATTGCCGTTGTCTCTCCGTCTATATAACGAATACCCATCATCATCAAATGTAGAACACTCAACAAATCTCTTAGGAAAATGTTTTGAACATCGTCCATTTACCATACATGGATAATTTCACCTTGCTTTTCCACATGGACCATGCATAAAAAATTCCTCTTCAGCTTTGTAATATTCTACATCTGTATTTTCATCTGGTATCTCAGCCAAAATGATTTTGTCTAGAGTAACAAATTGACTAACTTCTTTATTTTTCTCCAAAAACAGCAGTATATGAGTATGCGGAAGACATCTCTTTTGGAACTCAATGGTATATATAACTGCAACATAATCGCAATAACCAATCTTAGAAAGATTTTTTTTTTTTAATTTTAAAAAAATAGCTGTAAGACTAAACAAAAAGATTACCTCCAGCCACAGAGCCAAATAGTTTGTTCTTTTGACAATCAGCTATCAAGGAATCCAACGAACTTCATCTTGAATAACTGGCAAATTATGTCAGGACGGTCTTATGCTTTCAACCTTCGATCCTATAAAAAAAACGTTGCACCTCTAGCACTTTGGGTGGCATGTAAAAGTTATAAATAAATCGGGATATCCAATCCATCTACATATTGCCATGGCATCCTGGTAGTTCTGTATCATGTACCGAGTTCCACCTGTAAAACTTGAAGGTAGTATTATTCTACGACTTTGTGTTGCAGGGTTTACTTCTCCCCTGGTTAAAGCATCGTTCAACCCACTGTATGTTTCACACCTTAGGCTTTTTTTGGTGTGTCCTGATATAAATGAGTCTTCCTGACTCAACCATTGTGTATCCATCAACAACGAATTGTTGGAATAACCGCTTTGCATGTAGAATTGTACTCTGAACAGAATTTCTTGACTGTATGCAATGTTGCAAAAATCGCGCCTAGGCGCTAGGAGGCCACCGCGAGGAATGGCCTCGGCGGCCTCCTCCGCGGCCGGCCGCCTAGCCGGCTGGCTAGACCGCCTAATCGGCCTGTTCGGCGGTTCGGCGATATTATTATTATTATTATTTTTTGAAAATGTCGGAAAAGTTTTGAAAGACATAACTTTTGACTCGGTTGTTCGAAGGCGGTTTGGTCCACTAATTTCTGAAAA